AGTAGGTTCACAATTTGACGGTTCTTGGAAAAATTCTCTCTAAATGGAATTTTTTTCTCATCTTTACAACATGGGGAAAATTAGAATTTTTTGACTCCATGGAAGTAGCAAAATGATTGCAATATTTCGTCTGTGCGTAAGAGGTTGTAGACTGGAAAATAAACAACCCCTATAGGAGCTCGCGTTACATCAAAGCTTGAAAGTGTGAATTGAACTGCTCTAATTCAGATATTTTTTTATCATTTCACCCCAAGCAAGGGGATAAAGCCACTGAGATGCAAGATGGGTTACTGGGCGTGAAAGAAAATGAGGAGACGTTAGTGAGAAGAAAGCACAATAAAAGAAACAGATTTAAGGAGGACAAAAGATGGCAATTGACATTTCATTTAAATTTTTAAAGATTGTAAGCGGCAGAGAAGCAAAGAACCGAAAGGAAAACTGGCGAAAAGAACGAGAGAAGAAATAGAATAGAACTTGCGGTTACATCTAGCTATTTCAACAGAAAAAAAAACGAGGAGACCTAGCTGCCAATCTAGTGGTACGTTTAAATTCATACAGAGGAGGTGCCAAGGAGGAAAGCAATATTTATTTTTAAAAATACAAAAATGTGGCACAAGGCCAAATGGAGGGATAGGGGAAGGCTGGTCTTCAATCTGGTTTATCTTAAACTTAACTAGCCACGGTCACTGACCCAATTATACCACAGTATTCCTTACACCAAAACAACGCATTCTTATTCAACGTTCTTATTGCAGTCACCATAATACCTCCAAGTCTCTATGAAGTTCTAAGTAGTTCCTATATGTACAATTTGTCGGGAAAGGGGAGATAAAAATAACAACATTTAAAAACGAAACCCCAATGAATATTTACAATGAGGAAAGCTCATCAGAACAACTGCCTTGAAAATATTTATTAAAAAAAAGACAGAGGGGAAGCCACGACACAGTAGTCGGAAAGTGACTGAAATCGAGATGCCAGGTCAGGACCGATAACATTACAGACCCTTCTTTGGTTTTTGTCGAGAATCAATATTAAATCGTTTTTTTAAATCATTTCACACAAAGCAAGGCTATAACGCCACTAAGATGCAAGAGGTTACTGATTGTTAAAGAATATAAGGAAAAAATAATACTAAAGAACGTGAACAATAAAACAATTGATATTGCATTTAAAGTTTGAAGATTAAGGTTGACTGGTAAGAAGTAAGCTGGAAGAGTTTTCCACAAGCGAGAAGTGCGCTAGAAGAAACTGTTAGCATAGAACTTGCGGTTAGATCTAGCCATTTAAAGTGTAAAAGAATGAGACCTTGCCATTATTCTAGTACTGCGCTTAAGTTCATGAAGTCTATGTACCATAGAGGAAAGTAGTATTTATTTTGAAAAGTACAAAAATGTGGCACAAGATGAGTGGGGGAAAAGCTGGTCTTCAATCAGTTTTATCTTAAACTTAGCTAGTCACGATAACTGGGCCAAATATATCACTGTATTCCTTCCACTAAAACAACACATTCTTACTTATCTTTCTTACTACAGTCACCATAATACCACCAAGTCTCTATGTTGTCGTAACTAGTTCTTAGATATACAGTTTGTCTGTGTGGGGGGGAGATAAAAATAACAGCATTTTAAAATGAAACCTCAATAGCGGCATGTTCATCAGAACAATTACCATGAAAGTATTTATGGAAAAGACACAGAGCATCAGACCAGATATGGTAGCAACGTTCAGTGCACGGACGAATGGTAAATTTATAAATGTCCAAGATGGATTCTGACGAGAAAAATTTTCTGGTATGAAACATTGAGCCAACTTCCCTAGCAGTAGACGTAGCAATTGATTTAATATAGTCATTCCATTTCATATCAGTGGAAGACGTGAGCCGAAGAAGGTATAGTGTTCTTTTGGTCATGGTATGTTATAAATGTGAAAAAGGCTAACAATTATAATAGCCGCTGGTCGTTTAAAATAACATGTGCTGGCTGAGAATTGGGGCTTAACTTACGATTACTGACCCAAACATACCAAAGTATTCCTTACACCAAAACAACACGTTCTTACTTACCATTCTTACTACAGTCACCATAATACCTCCAGGTCTCTATGTTGTCCTAACTAGTTCCTATATATACAATTTGTCGAGCGGGGCGGGAGATAACAATAACAACATTTAAAAATGAAACACCAGTGGATATTTACAATGAGGAAAGCTCATCAGAACAACTGCCATGAAAATATTTATTAAAAAAGTCACGACACAGCAGTGGGAAAATGACTGAAGTCGAGATGCCAGGTCAGGACTGATAACATTACAGACCCTTCTTTGGTTTTTGTCTAGCATCTCGGGATATATAGCAGGGGCATCAGACCAGATATGGTAGCAATGTTCAATGCACGGACGAATGGTAGATTTATAAATCTCCAAGATGGTTTCTGGCGAAATTATCCGGCACGACACATTGAACACCTAGCAATCGATTCAATATAATCATTAACCCCCCCCCCCCTACATGTCAGTGAAAAACGTGAAACCAGAAGGCTGAATGAGTTGCTCGTCTGGAGTTTAGCATCGGCCATGTTGATGAAAGGCAAAAATAGTTCTCTATTTTGATTTAAAATATATCAGTTTCATTTTCGAGGTGTAACAATTTACAAGCCATTCTCGGGCATACGTTCTTAGCTGACATGAAGTGGAAAGACTATATTAAATCCCTTGCTAGGTCAGCTGCTAAGAAAGTTGATTCACTGTCGTGCTTGACAATAATTCTCCCCAGAATCTATCTTATTTATCTATGAATTTACCATTTATCCATGCTTAGAATATTGCTGCCATATATGGTCCAGTGTCCCTGCCTATTTACTTTGAGTTCCTTGATAAAATCCAAAGAAGAATCAGCAATATTATTGGTCCTCATCTGGTGGCTCGGCTTCAGTCATTTTCCTACTGCCTTAAGGTTGCCTATATGTGTCTTTTCTATAAATACTTTCACAGTAATTGTTCGTATGGTCTCTCCACTATGAATTATACATATGGGGACTAGTTAGGACTTCATAAAGATTATGAGGTATTATGGTGAATGAAGCAAAAATGGTAAGTAAGAATGCGTTGTTTTAGTGTAAGGAATATTTGTTGTATGTTTGTGGTTAGCTAAGTTTAACGTTCAGAGAGAAGAAGACCGTCCCTTTCCACATTCCCCTTTTTGGCCTTGTGCTACATATTGTATATATTACAAATGAATAATGCTCTCCTCTATGACTACCTAGATTTTTTGAATTCAAGCGCAGTACTAGACTGGCATCAAGATCTCATCAATTTAGAGTTGAGCTGACCAGATGTAGCCGTAAGTCCTATGCTAACAGTTTCTTTTCTCGCACTTCTCGCTTGTGGAACTCCTTTCCGACTCCATGCTTTCCAGCCAACTTTAATCTACAAACATTTAAATGCAATGTCAATCGCTGACTACTGTCCTCCTGATTATTTTTTTTCTTTTGGCCATTCATTATTAATGTTTCTATTCTTAATTCTTCCACGCCCTGTAACCCTTGTGTCTTAGTGGCTTTATTGCCTTACATGGGATGATACCGATTAAAAAACCCTTACCCCTGCTGTTGCTAGGAGGTAATTTTTGAAAGCAGCTACCAATTTCACATTGTTTTTCTTATCGCTGAAAACTTTCCGAGCTAAGATTGTGAGTTTGTGCCCCGTGAGAGGAGGGGCGTTGTAGAGTGAGAAATAACTCATCACCCACTAGGTCACATAAACGCTTTTAAACGCTGTCAAACCTGGAAAATAGAAAAAAATGAACCCAACTCAATATCGAAGTTCACTGTATGGTGCTGCATGAGCGTGTAAAAGAAGACAAGAAATGCAGTTTATAAGGTTATGTAGGAAATAGTAAGGTTAACTTGAAGGGGTCACGATTATAGTGATCGAGAAACAAAGCAGCAGTTTTAAGGAAGAATCTGTCCGAGAGAAATTTCCTTCTTACTAATGGAATAAGGAGGGAATGAGGCATGGCGGATCCTATCCACAAAACAAAGAAATGTAGCTCGTCAAAGTACTTGCAATGGAAATATCGATAGAGTGGTGAGAGGCTTGCGGCCCTCTGTGGAATTCGTGCCGTTTTGGGACTTATATCTAATACTCAGACAAATGGCAATCCATCACTGTCAGAATATCATGTCCACGAAATATTCTGGCCAATCGCTGGCCCTAAACTTTGCATTCTGTAAAATCTTACATAAAGAAAAATAAGATAGTGATGTAATTATCTTTCCATGGACCAATAAAATAATATTTTCTCGTGAACCTGTGAAATTTTATTTTCTCATGAGATTTTCTTTTCCCGTGAACTTGTAATAACCCAACACAAGTCATGATTCACATCTGCGAACCAATCAAAAATCAAGAAACAATTTTGGAATGAATTCCATTGTCTCGAGAAAAAAAAGTGAAAAGTCGATCAAGCAAAGGAACCAGCCGGTGAAATAATTTCATCCTCACCCATGCCCTATTTTTTCGAACACCTCCTAATCACAGAGAGAGTCGAAAGGATTACTACTAGCAAGAAGTACTTACATACATACATAGTGTAATGGCTGTCGACTCACAAAGCGAGTATGACCATCACTGACATGTCCAGCCCTTCCGTTAATTTCCACTCCTACAGTATCTCATAAAGCCAGCCATCGATCTGCATTTCTTGTCACATATATGGCATTTCAAACCATCTCTGGATGGTGGAAGTTGACTTTGATCAACATCACGTCCAATGTACCTTTTTATATGCTTTGTCAGGCCCAACCTGGGTTTGCACACCCAAGTACAGGTCGAGCATTCAAAGCATGCCATTACGAAATCATCTGTTGGTGTTGGTGTTGGTGTGATTTCTGGTGACTGAGCAGACCCGGCCTGGACAGACATATTCGATTGCATTGGGCACATGTCCAGGTTGGCGTCTCATGCCCAGGTTGGCGTCTCATGGCCAGGTTGGCACTTCATGCCCAGGTTGGTACCTCATGACCAGGTTGGTACCTCATGCCCAGGTTGGTACCTCAGGTTGCCAGATTGGCACCTCATGGCCAGATTAGCACCTCATACCCAGGTTGGCACCTCATGGCCAGATTGGCACCTCATGCCCAGGTTGGCACCTCATGACCAGATTGGCACCTCATGCCCAGGTTGGCACCTCATGACCAGATTGGCACCTCATTGCCAGATTGGCACCTCATGGCCAGATTGGCATCTCATGGCAATTCAGGAATGCCTTCCGAACCCCTCTCTTCAGTTCTACATATTCTTGTGATGCCTCATGAAAGATACATATATACACATTTACAAGGACTCTCTCTCTCTATCTCTTATATGCTAAATCACTTACACGTTCAACACGATAACTTTTTGATATGAACATTTAAACTGTTTGAATAATATTATTTTAAGAGTTATACATTTTTATCAGCACATGCAATATATATCTTTGTATTAATTATCTTTGCATGTATATTTAAAAGGCCATAAATTGGTGTAGATTAAGGACATCCGAAAGTAACCAACTGTAAACTAATAAACCCTACTTTGGTAACTTCCCCATTATGAACCATCAGAAACTCGTCAAATTTTCTTTTCCCGTGAACCCATGATATATTATTTCCTCGTGAACCCGTGAAATTTTCTCTCCTCGTGAACTTATCTAATTTTCTTTTCCTCTTTTCTTCGTGAAACCGTGAGATTTTCTTTTCTTCGTGAACCCGTGAGATTTTCTTTTCTTCGTGAACCCGTGAGATTTTCTTTCCTCGTGACTCCGTGACATTTTCTTTCCACTTGAATCCGTCAAATTTTCTCTCCTCGTGACTTTACCTAATTTTCTTTTTATCTTTTCTTCGTGAACCCGTGAGATTTTCTTTCCTCTTGAACCCGTCAGATTTTCTCTCCTCGGGAACTTATCTAATTTTCTTTTCGTCTTTTCTTCGTGAACCCGTGAAATTTTCTCTCCTCGTGACCTTATCTAGTTTTCTTTTCCTCGTGAACCCGTGATATTTTCTTTTTCTCGTGAACCCGTGAGCTTTTCTCGTGAAGCAATCTAATTTTCTTTGCCTCTTGACATTTTCATTTCCTCGTGAACCCGTGAAAACGCCTTTACTCGCAAACAACTCAAAGAATCACACACAAAAAAAAAAAAAAAAACCGCTCTCTGTTTGCTTCTGTCCTCATACGACCTCTCCGCATTTCCCCTGAATTTCCAAAAGATTTTTTTAAAGAAAAAGATGTTTTTTTTTCTTTTTATTCAAATTATCCGCAAAACTAAACAAAAAGAAAGAAGAAGCATTTATCTGTGATAAAGAAAGTCGTGGCAAATTGCGTGTGTGTTGAACGGGGACTATTTGGGAAAAGAAGATAAAGAAAAAAGATAAAGAAAACTACAAAACAACAGATCAACTGCATGCAAAATCAACTCTTTCCGACCCACAATAGAAAACACTTAATCTGCAAGCAGACAACACAAGAGTTATTCCCGCTTTCCCTCTCCCTTAGCGAGAGGGCCTCTTGATTTTGTCTGTAGACAGAATACAGCGGTCTTTCTCATCTCTCTTGAGGGTCGGACGGGTCCTACTAACATCAATTATTTTTTTTTTAGTCTGTGTATTTTGTTATATTTTAGTTTCGTTTCGGGTTCATTCCTCAACCCACATTGCTCATCATCGATAATTTTTTATATATAATTTTAAATATACGAATTTTTTATGCCATGGGGAGTTTTTTTTTTTATAGGTCCCTCTGTGTGTATGCGGTATTGTGATATGTGGAGGATTGAATAATGACGGACAAGTTTGTTTTTTTTAATGGTGGATGTGTAAATAGTAACGAATGAATGAATCGTGAATGGGATAAGCTACGCATAAGATAGTGCCGGAGTTAACTCCTCCTTAATTTCCAAGTTGTCCACTAGGGGTCGCTCTGCCTACATTATAAATACTGGGCAACTTCTTGTCTCGTTGTCTTCTTTCTTCATTTTCAGCGAACACATCTACAATGTAAGCTCTCGCAGAAGATTGCGTCATCCCATTTGTGGGAGACGCCATGAACATTATACACACATACACGTACGTACGAACATTCACCACAATACAAATTCTTTACGTTCACGCACAAACACAAATGTTAATGTTCATGTCCCTTGTAAATTTTGTTTAATATATATACTTGTTTATATATCGGTCTTGTTTGTTTTCTTTACATCTTCGGTTGGACTCAACTTGAGTCCGCCATTTTCTTGTGGTGGACCTTCTTCTAGCAGGGATAAACGCATGTGCTCATAATTTAATAACGCGTAAACCCACGGTTTGCAACAATAGTTAGTGACGACTAGCCTTAATCTATTCCTCTTTTTTGGGGGCCTTGTGCCACAATTGATGTATTTTCGAGAAATAGATCTCGAGTTATTGCCGCCCCTTACCCGTTATTTTTTCTTCTTTCTCCGAGTTTGTTTGCTTCCACACCACCACCACCACCACCATCACCTCAGCAGAGAAGAATTATAAGAAGACTAATTTTGCTTTGCAGATGGAAAACAATATTCACAAATCTTGGAAAATATTAATCGAATTAAACATAATCATTTTCCTTCGTTACTCTTCATTTTTTTTTTTCTTCTACGATTATTTTTCTTTGTCATTTGAAAATAGATAAATGTATTTGTATTACTCACCCTCACTTTGTGGTTACCGCGTTCGTTGTTGTCGCTCTTAATTTTACTTTCGTTTCGATGGATTTGAGATAAAAATCCGACGTTTAGTTTTTCCCTTTTATTTTTGACGCTAAGCTTTTTTCCGCCTCCCCCGTTTTGCTGGCAAACAAACACGTAAAGTCGTTCCAATCCGTTTAGAAAGAAATTCGTGAATGCACGATTTTGTCAAAGAATAAGAAAGAAATAGAATAAATAAATAAATCTTAATAATAAAATAATAAATAAATTAAAAAAATAAATAAGATTATTTCAGAAAACTAGGAATGAGTGTGCAAACAATACGCATGCTCACGCACATGCGTGTTCAAATATCTCATAACAAGCATGTAATATAGAAAGGCACGCATAGGAAACTTCAACGTGGTATAATGTTTTTTTTTATATGCTATTGTTCACCAAGGCCCAAGAGCCAGGCAAGGTAGAAGATTAGTAAATGAGGTTATTGTAAAGGCGCCTATGGAGAAACTAAGATGATAAGGATATATAGGATAGATGTCTGTTAAGCCAACCTTTGAAGCGGTTACGATTGTAGCAACCAAGAAAGCATCCTCTCGGGAGTCTGTTTCACAAAGTAGCGGTTCTCAGAAAAAAAACTGAGTGGAACTTCCTCCTTACTAATGAAATACGAAGGGAATGAAGACGTAGTGTCGCCTGAACTAATTTGTTAAGCATTTCACCCCAAGCAAAGCGGGAGTGTCACTAGTTACAGAGAGTGAGAGCAAGAGTAAAGAGGGGTGTTTGGGAAAAGGACATAGAGAAGGACGGGGATCAGGATCGAGGCATCAGAAGATGTCGATTGATATTACATTTGAATATTTGAAGATTATAGCTATCAGGGAAGCAAGTAAGAGGAAGGGATTTCCACTAACGAGAAGTGGGAGATAAGCTGTTGGAGTAAAAGAGACACATACATTTAACCGTTTCTACAGCGAAAGGGTGGGACCGAAATGCCAACCTAGTAGCACGCTTAAATTCATGCAGTTTGGGTAGCAGTGAAAGTACCTCGTCGGTACAGTTGCCATGAAAATATTTGTAGAAAAGACAGAGGGAAGCCACATCACTTCTGTGAGAAAGTGACTGTAGACGAGATGCCAGATCAGGACCTATCCCATTGCATATCCGTCTCTGGATTTTGTCAAGGACCTCGAGATGAACAGCGGAGTACCAGACCATACATGGCAACAGTATTCAATGGAAGGATGGATGGTTGATTTGTAGATCTGAAGGATGGACTCAGGCGAGAAAACCCTTCTGGCACGACACAGAGAACCAACTTTCCTACCGGTAGATGAAGCTATTGATTCAATGTAGTTGTTCCTCCTCAGGACAGTAGAAAGTGTGAGACCAAGCAGGCGCAGAGAGATGGTCTCGTGGAGTTGGGGCTCAACCATTCTGATGGTAGGCGTACCTGGAATGGGAGCAAAAACTTCAGAAGTCCCCTCGCCACTTCCTTTTTTCTTTACGCTTCAGGCGACCTTAACTGCCCAACCTGAGGGAGAGCTCTTGCCTCAGGCTTAGGAATATTATTTAAAATTTTAACCAACCGTATGTATAAAGTATTAACACTTTGAGCTCCGCGTTCGTGAACAATTTTAACCCTACTGATTGAGCTCCTGAGTCAAAATTCGAAAATAATTGATATGTAATGTCTCACGGTAGATATAAAAATAGTTAGTATTTATCCATCATTCAGTAGGTGGCTGGGCATGAAGTCATGTTTCTTTTACTACTGTTCAACCGGTGGCTGGGTATTACGTCATTTTTCTCTACCACTATTCAACCGGTGGCTGGTATTACGTCGTTTTTCTCTACCACTATTCAACCGGTAGCTGGGTATTACGCCATTTTTCTCTACCGCTATTCAACCGGTGGCTGGGTATTACGTCATTTTTCTCTACCACTATTCAACCGGTCGCTGGTATTACGTCATTTTTCTCTACCACTATTCAACCGGTGGCTGGGTATTACGTCATTTTTCTCTACCGCTATTCAACCGGTGGCTGGGCATTACGTCATTTTTCTCTACCACTATTCAACCGGTGCCTAGGCATTACGTCATTTTTCTCTACCGCTATACAACCGGTGCCTAGGCATTACGTCATTTTTCTCTACCACCGGTAAAGCGGTGGTCTGGGCTCAAATGTTTAAAATCGCCCGTGCGAGTCTCGTAGGGCGCCGATCGAGTCCGGCTAAAGGTCCTTATTTCGAATCCATATTTTCTAGGCATGCACAAACCCTGGCGTAGCACAATCTTATTTCCAATCACCTCATTTGCCCTTGGTTCACTAATATTAATTAATAAATACGCTACAATAGACATATTTTTGTATATTCCTCATCAGTGTCAGAGGTCGATGTTCAGATTTAAAAAAAGGTGAAGATTTCGAATGAGAGGGTGGAAACTATGTGTTAGACTAGGTAGTTTTTTTTCATCCCACATATTTTGGGGTAACATCTCTTCAATAAACACGCTGTCCACATCTAAAATATTGACGGGACACTATATTATCTCTTATTTTTAATATATTTTTTTTAATATTGTCACACACGCCAACTATGTAAATGCTTGTTAAGTCTTTAATCGTTATAGCTGATCCACATACGATCGTAGAGTGACGATCCGGGATTTGCTATAAATATAAATCAATTGAAATTAGAATGAAATAAATACTAATAAATACTCCTTTTAGGTACTACATCTGTGCAGGACGTGGATGATCATGGCCCTCCAAAACATCCTGACTTTTATTGCTCTTGGTAACTTTGTGACTAATAGGGTATTTTCACTTGTTTCTTTAGTATGTCACGTGAGTGTTAAATTCACCAGACCGTCTTTTTTCATTCTGCATCCCAGAAATGTCTCATTCTGATTGGAATATAAGTTTATTTGTTATCCTCATTTTCTTTAAAGAAAATAACTTCCTCGTTGCTCAGGTATTCTCTAACCAGTAATTGTGGCAGAGTGACCCCCCACCTCCCAGCCCCAGGCCAAGATTTTAGTAGTCTACGAATAATGGTTTATGTCTGGAGCAAATGAATTACGAGGTTCGGCCGAAAAGTTCATAGGCTGACCAAGATACTCTCATGGAATGTGATCAAATGAGATTTATTATTCGACACACTTCTTCCGTCGGGTTTGCAATGATTGGTTCTCATTGATGAAGTAGCTTTCATCTTGTGGGTGATGAATTATTTTCCAGACAACAAATCTCTCTTGGAAACGTCGCCCGGCCATCCACCAACAGCATCATCTACGACAGTTTTTCCTGTCTTTCCTCTCTCGTCGAGCACAATTTGCTGGCCACCGTACCGAGAATGGGGTTGTTTTCTTTCTCCTACTTGTGAAACTTGCGTCAAACCTGACCAGGGGCAGAAAAATCATCTCAAGGGATGCAAGCAGTGATAGGCAAGACTCGGGGACAGCAATGAAGAACCGGGAGCTCTGGCGTAGTGTTGTGGACTCCATGATCTCGACAGCGGTCGACACATGATGATGATTGTCTATATTTCAAGGTAAGGCTTCAAGAACACCAAAAAGCTGTAACACGATGGGAAGTTGAAAAATCAGTCGTGGCTGACCACATATGGAGAGAAAAGGGAGATCACTGCCCTCGGTGGGATCATGTTGAGATCATAGACAAGGAACACCATTGGAAAATTCGTAAAGTTAAGGAATCAGCACATATGCTAGGCCACAAAAATCTTCTGAGCCGACCAAGCATAGAAATAAATACAATATGGGAACCAGTAATAAGGAGTGCCAGAGAAAAGCAATGATAATAACAAAGTTGCAATATGAGCTCTGGTAAAAACACGCAATGATAACAGCAAAAATTGCAATATGAGCACTGGCAAAAATGGTTGCTGAAGACATTAGGTTTATAATACCCAGAAATTCATACCCAGATGTCCTCAAGGACTCATGGCACAGTGGATAAAGGCGTTGGTTAGTGACAGGACCCAAAGAGTGTGAGTTCAATACCCGGTTAAGGCAGTGGAGAACTTTCAGAAGGAAAATTAACAGGATATAACTGATAACAGACATCTATTAAACATGGCGCGTGGAACTAGAACAGCCTACCCGGAAGCGAAATAAAGGGTTCAGTTCGAATTCCAACCACCTGAAGAAAGCTGGAGCGTACAACGGCCGAAACATTGTAATGAATATGGCGACAAAGAAGAGGTCAATAGTCCGAATAATGTAAATAATGTACATGATGATGATACTGGCTCCCAGCCATTTGCTTTTTTTTTTTTTTCATGTTGGGGAACAGATGATAGTCAAGTCAAGAGAATAGGGAGGGTGATCAACCAGTTCAAAGCCACAGTCACACACGGCAGCCATTGAAAGCAAGGGTGTCTGTGCTGGAGCATTGTCCTGATAAAACAAAATCATTTTCGTCAGTTTTCCTGCGCTTTTGATCTTGACAGCCTTTCGTAACTGCCTCGGCAGGTTGGCACTGGTAATAAAATACTTGCATTGCCAGTAAATACACTGACATTCACCTCTGTTGAATTATCGTTCAGAGTGAATTTTCCATATGTTACAATTGACATTGAACATTTAAAAACTTATTCCAGTGAATTATTTAACTTTTTTTTCACTGATTTTTTAAAGTTTTCTTTCCATTTTTTTTTGTTTTTTTTCATTTTGCTTTCACTCTTTTTTTTGGTTTTGTTTCGTTTTTGTCTTTTCCTTGTTTTTTTTTTTTTTTCGTTTTCCCTTTTTTAAATCAGGTCTTTAATTTTTTTAAGTTACATTTTCTTTTCTTTCTTTTTCCTTTGTTTCTTTTTTCTTATTTTTTACTTTTATTTTCTTTTTCTTATTTGTCCTTTTAACTTTTTCATTTTTTTTTCCCCTTTTTTTTTTCTTCTCTCCATTGATGGTGTGGCCCTTTTGAAGATAGTCAATAAACACCTTTTGCATCCCATCACCTCCTCTGCAGATGAAACGACCTTGGAGCCAACGAGGAAGGGTGTTTCTACTGCACCGATTGTTTCTTTGACTCTGGCTCAAAATGATGAACCCAATGGTGCATTATGGGTAGAGGAAATAAAATAGGTTAATTGCTGTTTTTTTTTATGATTGTAAATAAGTTTCTTTATTTTTCCTATTTTCCTCGTTGCTCACATGTTGAATCAATGGTATTCTCAGCATCCTTCTGTATAACCCGATTTTTGTTGCCTCATGTCTTTTCTTTATCTGTGAGAAGATTGCCGAGCTTTTCATTATTTTGGGAGACATTTTCTTATCTTTTAATACTTTCCTTACTTTCTGAAAGGCATTTTTCGCTATTACTATTCACTTTCGGATATCCATGCTGATTAAAAACCGGATCAGATCAAACATGGGATATTGCTGCCATATCTGGACGTGAGCTGCGCAATCCTCACTTTAAACTTTGACAAAGTTCAAAGCCATTTGAACGGCCTTGTTAGGGACGAATTACTCTCCACCCAGCATAAAGCTCTATCGGGAAAACTACATTCCAAGGTTCCACCAAAACAGACACTTCCAGATAGGACCCACCATGGCACATACACTGGTCAACTCATCGCCATCCCCTTTGTATGCTATTGGTAAGAAGGAAGTTCCACTCAGACGGCTTCTTTTCTAGAAGTAATATAAGGAACTCCCAAGAGTGATGGTCAACCGTTATCTATTCTACATATCTTTATAATATTCACTACTTACTCCTTCCTTTCAATGGCGTCATTTAGTAACCCTCTACTTTGAGAGGCTCTTGGGAATGTCATTTATATTTGGTTAGTTCGTAGTATTCTCCTCATCTTCTTCTCTACTATGTGTATTGTACTTTTCGTCTATTTTAGCGTGTCTTTTTGCGGTTTGGCATATTGTTGACTATTGATCTTAGGCAGCATTCGCAGCCGTTTTCATAGACATCGCGTTCGGTGCTGGTGTTCTTGGAATAATCTCCTTTCGCTAAAAATCTCGTCTTTCCGCACACACGCAGATTCCCGTTCAGTTTTTACGGCCCGCCGACGTCCTATGCGGAATTCGCAACATTCCCGGTGTACGATTTCTCCTGTTTACCGAGAAAAAACAAGAGTAACTGTCACTTCAGCAAGAGAGAGACACAGACAAACAGAGATAGAGGCAGCGAAATAAAGAGAGAAAGTCCCAATTTTCATACCCCAACAAACGTTAGACGGTCAGACGGTGTCAAATTCTGCCTGCATCCCATAACTGTCACTGCTACGCTACTTATTTACATATTACATGACGCGTTCGTTCCTACAAGTGGGGAGGTAAAACCAGCCAATTTATTGCTCTCTCGCATTTTGTCACTACAATTTACCCCGTCCGCGCACGCACTTTTTACAAATATATATATATATATATATATATATATATATATATATATATATATATATATATATATATGAGCACTTTTCACTAATACCGCACACACACACACACGTGTGTGTGTGTGTGTGTGTGTGTGTGTGTGTGTGTGTGTGTGTGTGTGTGTGTGTGTGTTCTTATTCCCCTTATAAATAAATATATGTGTATTTATAAAAATAAATCCGCTTAAATTCACATTCATCGCTGCCGTACACCAACAATAAAAAGTATTAAAAAATTAAAACCTTCAGACACACCGGGTTGTAGATTAGTATTCTTTCGTTTTTACTGCGATTATTTCATTTAGATTCCTCGACTAGTTTCGGCCAACATGGCCATCATCAGGAGAAGAAATACATATAAACATATATATGTGTATTTATAAAAATAAATACGCTTAAATTCACCTTCGGTTACCTTTAGCTAGGATTAAAACCAGGTTGAAATGGCATCAGTCGAAGAATTTACCCCTAAGCCGTTGGTGCACAGCAGGGATGAAGGTGAATTTAAGCGTATTTATTTTTATATAAATACGCCAGTGACTGAGAGAACTCGATTCGTTTTATCGAAGAGTATTGCATTCGTAACATGTGTTTGAGTATATGCGTGTATATATATAACAGACTGAAAAAAAATTCGTGTATATATATATATATATATATATATATATATATATTTAGTGTGAGTATACACACACACATATATATATATATATATATTTAGTGTGAGTATACACACACACACATATATGTATATACAGGGTGCGATGGGTAAATTGTCGCCATCTGATATTCTTACTTTCGCGCGTGGAGGTTGCTCGTTTTTGTTTTTTCGACTTCAGCGTCTGTGAGAAAAAGAGCACCATGACGCAATTCACTCCTCCATAAATTTGGTTCCGGATTCGCTGTACTGCTCGGCATAAGCATCGGAAGCTCCAGTACAAACATTTCGGAGTGTTTGGACGTCAATCTGAGGACAGTGCATAGTATACGGAAAGAGTTGAATAAGTCTGATGAAGATTATGACGATTTTTTTCGGGTGATCACTAGGACTCTTCACCATGCTACACAAGCAGGAGAACCCAGTCATGGCTGTCAATCATTTCTGTGATCATATCACTCCTTCCAAGAATTCCAAGACTTGCAACTCCTTGATTATTATGTGTTGGACGCAGTTGAGCGAAAGTCCAACAAAACTCCTTATAACACCAAAGATGAACGAAAGGCAAGGATTATAATAATATTCACCAACTTAAGCAAGGTGATATTTCAGAAGAGTTGCCAGAGATCCCGAAGTCGTCTTAAGCCCGTGGTTGAAACGAATGGCGATTTTATTGAATGAATTTACTCTTTAGTATTTCAAGATATTTTTGTGTAATTTTGGTAAATATATCTTTCAAAATGAGTGTTATTTTCAGTTTTCGTCATTTACACGAAAATATATCCATCGTTTCTATATATATATATATATATATATATATATATATATATATATATATATATATATGATGGAAAGTCAAACATTATCCGCACTCTTGTCTAAAAATATGTTATGGCGAAATAATTATATCTATATAATAAATGCGAATGTCAGTGTGTCCCATTTTTTCAATTTTACTCCTAGTGTCTGTAGACCAAAATATCATACCATTTTGGAATCAGGCCAAGTGCGTGAGCAAATTAAAAACAGTCCGGGTCCGATCCGAACCCGCAATCCTGAAATTTTGGTTTCCAAAGTTTTCATTACTGCGATTGTTTTCGGATTACGCCATCTTGGCTTCTACTGGTAAAAACAAATACAGGGACACAGCTCTCTAACTTTCAATAGCTCATGTTCAAATTTTTTTTTAAATTATCTTCTCAAATTGAAGTATTTCAAAATAAAATTGTCCGTCTTTTCATCTTTACTCCTAGAGGCCGTAACCTAACATATACCATTTACAAATCAGGCTGACTCCGTGAGCAAACTGAAAACATTCCGAGCCGGATCTGAACCCGCAATCCTGAAATTACTGCGATTGTTTTCGCCGAGTTTTTTACGTGATTTTTTGCGACAAAATTTTTGTGCGATAACAAATTTTCTAACATGGAAAAAAAATTAGAAATAATCGAAATTAATTTCGAAATCCAGCGAAAGTCACCCATGAAATAAACATAATTGTTTGTACCGGAAGTAAGGACCTATGTACATCAATTATCTTTAAATTAATTAACGACAGAAGAATTATTGTGGAATTTTAAAAGGGTAAGCTTAAATATTAATGAAATACTTAAATGCGGCGATCAATTTTGAGTTCTTCTGTAGTTTACTGATGCCTTTCGCATCTCCTCCTCCGTAGCTATTGTGATGAAGAACCAATCAAGAGCCTTCCGCGGGAGCTAGCTTAAATACCGCCCGATAGAGAGGCTTTTAAGCTACTTTATATATATAGTTCTGTAAAGAACAATATGAATAAAGATACAAGGAATATTTATTTTGATAAAGTTCATCAGAGGACAAAACGTGTCAGGTAAGTTTTCCTTTATATATATATATATATATATATATATATATATATATATATATCAAATCCGTAAGTGGAAAAGATAATCCAAGTAGGTCATTTTAATAAAAAATATTAAAATGATATATCCATCAAGAGAGCTCAATGTATAACATACAGAGAAAGACGATATACATAGTCGAAAACACGGTTAGATACATATATATATATATATATATATATATATATATAACAAAGATGGAAAAATATTCACAGAACCTATCTTGCGACCGACGTTAAGCGTTGTGTACGTGTATACACCGCTCTTCAGAGCTCTCTGTCTATCTTAGGTTGTTCCCATTTATCTATCTATCTATCTATCTAATTCTCTCTCTTTCCTAGTCTGTTCACATATCTATCTATCTATCTATCTATCTATCTATCTATCTATCTATCTAAGCCTCTTCATATCTATCTATTTTAGCCTTTTCACATCTATCTATCTATCTATCTATCTATCTATCTATCTAAGCCTGTTTACATATATATATCTATTTTAGCTTGTTCCCATCTATCTATTTTAGCCTGTTCACATCTATTTATCTATCTTAGTCTGTTCGCATCTATCTATCTATCTATCTATCTATCTATCTATCTAAGCCTGTTTACATATATCTATCTATTTTAGCCTGTTCACATCTATCTATCTATCTCTAAAGAATTATTAGATTCATTTTTAATTCGACATTTTTATTAAATCACAAGTTATTTTTTAACAGTATGTATCACGTTTATTTCTTACATTCCATTATCTCTTTATTAAGTTTTCTCGAGTTCCGAGAACGGGCAAGCATAATACACACTGTTTGAAATAAAATACGGGGCATCTACTACAAACACGAATATCTATCTATCTATCTATCTATCTGTCTGTAAATAACTCTCAAAAGAACTATCTTCCGACGCCAAGTTTCAAAGATACACCGCTTATCTGAGTAAGATGAATCTAGTGTATTCATTGACAAATATCGTATTTATAGACGCTACATAAAATTAGCATTAATCATAGACTCCAAACAATTTCAAACTTGTTCCATACAAAAAAAAAGTTATCACGCGACATTTAAATATAGCTAAGTTAAAGTTAGCTTTTTTTTATTTTCATATTTTTATAATTTCACCGTTATTAATAAAATGGTCTTAGAAAAATTATTATTATTGAATACAGTGCAACCTCGTTTCTCGAACGTCTCACATGTTGAAAAAATTGGTTTTCGAACAGAAAATTCAAGATGAAAATGCCTCGGTTATCAAACAAAATTTCGGTTCTCGAATGACATTTCTGAACCGAGTTAACCCGAACGGAATCATTTCTGAGTCAACCGCCATGTTGTCTCCATTCGTGTGTTGTGCTGTGCTTTTCTTTTCCAATTTTCCTTTCCAATTTTATTGTACTGTGACTTTTTTTTCTACATTGATTCCTATTAAAAAAAATAATTTCGGTTTACGACCGTTTCGGGTTACGAACGGCTTTCAGGAACGAATTAAATTCGTCAACCGAGGTTCCACTGTATATGATAAATCTCTTTCAGAATAGAAAGAACTTCTGATCTAGTGAGCTGTGAATTAGTTTTGAAAAAGGCACGCAATTTTTAATTTTGAGATTATTCTTTAAAACCCAGAGGATGTCTAAAAACTTTTGGTTTACGAGGATAGGCCAAAAAGTCCATAGGCTGACCAAGATACTCTCACGTGACCAATGAGGTTTATTTTTCAATTTTGTTCTTTTTGGGGTCCACACACTTCTTCCGTCGGTATTGCAGTGCTTGGGTCTCAATTGGTGAAGATTTCACCCTGTTTTGATTCCATTTCCCTTACAAAAAATCCCTCGTTACTCACATATTCAATCCAGGGTATTCTCAGCATCCTTCTGTAGAACCACATTTCTCTTGATTCAAGTCTCTTCTCCTCTGTGATTGTCCACCATTTGCTAATGAATTTGTAACCGAAAAAAAGACTATTGTAGAAAAATTATAAAACCCAGCTCCACGAGAGCATCTCTCTGCGCCTGCTTCGTCTCACGCTTTCTACTGTCCTGAGGAGGAACAACGACATTGAATCAATAGCTTCATCTACCGGTAGGAAAGTTGGTTCTCTGTGTCGTACCAGAAGGGTCTTCTTGCCTGAGTACATCCTCCAAATCTACAAATCTACCATTTGTCCTTGCATTGAATACTGTTGCCATATATGATCTGGTATCCCGCTGTTCATTACGATGTCCTCGACAAAATCCAGAGACGGATATGCAATGTGAGAGGTCCAGATCTGGTATCTCGTCTACAGTCACTTTTTCACAGACGTGATGTGGCTTCCCTCTGTCTTTTCTACAAATACTGCAACTGCTCCGACGAGATACTGTTACTGGTACCCCAAGTACATGAATTTAAGCGTGATACTTGGTTGGCATTTCGGTCCCACCCTTTCACTGTCGAAACGGTTAAATGAATCAATCTCATATACTCTAACAGCTTCTTATCTTCCACTTCCCGACAATGGAACTCCCTTCTTCTTACTTACTTCCCTGATAGCTATAATCTTCAAATATTCAAATATAATGCCAATCGACATTTTCTAATGCCTCGATCCTGATCACCGTCCTTCTCTATATCCTTTCCTCAAACAACCCTCTTTATTCTTGCTCTCACTCTCTGGAACCCCTCGCGTGATAGTGGCTCTCTCGCATTGCTTGCTTATTAAATCACAAGTTATTTTTTTAACAGAATGTATTACGTTTATTTCTTACATTCTATTATCTCTTTGTTAAGTTTTCTCGAGTTCCGAAGACCGGTAAACATAATACACACTGTTTGAAATAAAATACGGGGTATCTATTACAAACACAAGAATCCACTATCTATCTATCTATCTATCTATCTATCTATCTGTCAGTCTGGAAATAACTCTCAAAAGAACTATCTTCTGACGTCAAGTTTCAAAGATAATTGAAAGGTGGCCTAATGTAATGTTGCCCGGATTTTTACACCTTTACATCAGATTTGTGTAAAGTCGAGAATTTTTCAGCACCACCTAGTAGAAAAGGGTGCGCTAGGTATTTAAGAACAGATACATACTGGGACATAAACGGAAGTCGGCCTAACATAATGTTACGCGTCACGCGCCAAATTCAGATGCTTGGAGCTTTGGTCAGATTTAGGGATTTTGAAAAGATCGGAAAAGTTTCAGCCCCATCTTGTATGCAGAATGCGACGGGAATTTCGGAGCAAATACTTAGAAATGAAAAACAACTTAACATAATGTTGCGGAGCATGCGCCGCATTTTAACATTGGAATTAATTTTAGGCTAATCGAGAGCATAAACATGGCAGCGTCCAGTTGGACACAGGAAAGAAAAAGACACGACGTCCTCCTGGCACTAGCTACCAACAACCGATCATTCGTCTTCAAGATCAGGTACGACGGGGGATACGTCGTCGGTGGACAAGAAAGAAGAATATTCTGAGCGGTAAGACGTCGTAAGGGCGGACGGCTTCATCCGGCGTGTCTAGGAAGTCATTAACCGCAGACCCGGTCAAATGAATGTGGTAGGAAGGCATCACATGGCAACTGAAGGTTGACTGAGTCCACTATTCAGGCGTCAGGTCAGGCACAAAGATTACACGATGAAGAGAGGGCACATCCTAAACGACAAGGTCAGGGGAAAATCCTGTTAGCCAAACGAAGTGATTGATGAAACGTTCAAGCATCCCGAAGAGACAGAACTGCATTGGTTATTTTCTGAAACAATAGTTATATGAAGTAGTAATTCAGTATGACTATTTTATTACTTAATAACAAAAGAAAATAGATCCCCCACTTTATGTCCACTAGAATCTTAAGCGTCGTTTACTTATACTACCAAAATAGAATGACGTATTTTCTTTAATTCCTTAACATTATGTATCATTATTATATTAATATGTATTTATTCAAGGGGGATCACTTTATTACTTTATAACAAGAGAAAATTAATCTTCCACTTTATGTCCTCTAGACACTTAAGCGTCGTTTATCCGTGCAGTCAAAAATGATGAAGTATTTCCTTAATTCGTGAATATTAATAGCTTTCCATATGTAAGTCTTTAGGAGTAGAGAGGTTCGCCTATCGTTTGGTTTACAAACCTCCCCTGTCCTCTGAACAGGAGTAGAGATTTTATTCCTTGTTTCCTGTTTAGGATGAAATTTCCGATTCCTTTTAAAGTCTTCCCATTCTCTTTCACTCCAAGTAAACCCTTGCGTCTTAGTGGCATTATCACCTTTCTTCGGGTGAATTGTTTTTAAAAAAAAATGTGTGGGTCTGCTCGGACCAGATGAATATTGCCAGTGATTCGTATCGGCTGTGATTATCGCCCTGAGCAACGAGGGCTAGATGAATTCTTCCTGCAGGATAAGGGGGATCAGTTTATTACGCAATAACAAGAGAAAATCGATCCCCCTCTTTATGTCTTCTAGAAACTTAAGAGCCTTTTACCCATGCTGTCAAAAATGATGAAATAGTTCCTTAAATCGTGAATATTAATAGGTTTTCACATGTGAGCTTTTAGGAGTAGATAGATTCGCCTAGCGTTTGCTTCACATTCATCCCCGATCTTCTGAACATCAGTAGAGGTTTAACCCATGTTTCCTGTTTAGGATGGAGTTTCCGGTTGCTTCTAAAGTCTTCTCATTCTCTTTCAATCCAAGTAAACCCTTGCATCTTAGTGGCATTATCACCTTTCTTAGGGTGAATTGTTTTTAAAAAAATTGTGTGGATATGCGCGGATTATACGAATATCGTCATAGTAATACGAAGAGTCTGTGGTTGTCGCCGTGAGGAATGAGTGCGAGGTGACTTCGTCCTGCAAGATTGATGCTACTAGACATTGTAGTCAAGCGAAATCGAATCAATCCTAGAGTCAATCATAGATCGAATCAATCCTAGAGTCAATCGTAGATCGAATCAATCCTAGAGTCAATCGTAGATCAAGTGGATATCTCAGTCCTCATGTGCACTTTCAAGTATAAATCTGATCTCCCCCACATGACTGGATTACAATCCAGTCATTTGAGAGAGACCAGATTCAAGAATTTTCAGATTCCAAGAATTTTCATGATCCTATCATTTGCAACACGTTTTCTGAGTACCCAAGACCAGCGGTCGCCAACCTTTTCAACTTCATGGACCACTAAATGTATAATTTAAAATTTGGTGGACCTTAATATAAATTTAGAAAAAAAAATGTAAATACATGTAATGTAAAATATATATATATATATATTAATACAGTGTAACCCGGATATAAGAGAATTGTCGGGACCGGAGAAGAAGTCTCTTATATCCGGGTTTCTCTTATATCCGGGTTTGGTCTATTTTATATACATTAACACAGGCTCTAATTTGGGACCAGAGAAAATCTCTCTTATATCCGGCTTTCTCTTATATCCGGGTTACACTGTAATAATCGGAAAATTTTTATTTTTTTAATATGAAATGCACCCATTAAAGGTAGCAAAATTATAGTGTAATTATTTAAATAAAATAAATTGAAAATTTTAAATTTGAAAGTCATGTTAGATTAAAATATGGCTGGATAATGTCATATTTGTGTATTTGTGTTTCTTTCGAGATTACAAAACGTCTTCAACATATATACCATTGTTTTGTTACTCATCATTTTTAAATTTGAAGTTTCATGAAAATTAAAATAATGTCCCAATTTTTCTGCGGACCATCAAAAATTTTGCACGGACCACCAGTTGTCCATGTCCGGTTGGCGACCACAGCCCTAGACAATTACGTCTGGAGCGTTGTTGAGCCGCCCTATATTACTAAAGACTTGTCAAAGTCACCCATCTTGGATGTCATGGTCTGTCTATAATAATAAGTATTCGGGTCGGTAAATGTCGATAATGCTATTTAATACTGCTTTGTAGAACAAACTCCCGATGGGATGCTTCCCCGATCACTTCAATGTTAACCTCTTCAACTGTTATCTATACCAGCGGTTGCCAACCTTTTGAACTTGATGAACCAGTAAATGTATAATTTTAAATTTGGCGGGCCAATAATATGAATTTAGAAAAAAAATGAAAAAACATTTATATATTAATAATAATCGGAAAAATTTTATTCTACTAATATGAAATGCACCCATTAAAGCTAACAAAATTATAGTGTAATTATTTAAATAAAATAAATCAACAGTAATGATAAGAAACTATTTAGTAACAAGTATAGGAAATGACTTTGCAAGTCATGTTAGGTTATACTATGGCTGGATGATGTCACATTTGTGTACTTGTGTACTCTTGTTTAATCCGGGACACAAATGTCCAGTGACGCAAATATCCAGGGACGAAATTGTCTGGTACGCAATTGTCCGGGACTCAAGTGTCCAGGGACGCAATTTCCAAGGTGGCAATTGTCTGGTACGCAAATGTTAAGGGACGCAATTGTCTGGTAGGCAATTGTTCAGGACGCAAATGTCCTGGTATGCAATTATCTGGTATGGAATTGCCCGGGACGTAAATGTTCACAGACGCAATTGTCTGATACGCAATTGTCCGGGACCCAAATGTCCAGGGTCGAAATTATTACTGCAAACATAAATTATTTTGAATTATTATGAATAAAAATATTACCGAATTTAATTTCATTCTAATTAGATTCAACTGAAAAAGATTTAAATAAAATGATTGGTAGGTTTGTCCTTTACGGCTTATCAACACTTGACAGGTTATTTAAAGCCAGAAAATATTTTTTTAGATTGTACAATTTTTTTTTTTTTTTGAGATAATAATGATTTAGTGATACAAGTCTTACTAATGAACTCATAGCTGGGGGGGGGAGAAGAGGTGGATTAATAGCTTTCTCATTTACGCGTAGATGAACATAATGGACCCAACCGGAATTGAACATCGGCTCTCCGATTAACAATCATCATACCGAGTTTACAGCACGTGGTATTCCCAAGCGGTCACCCATACAAGCACTGACCAATCTCAACGTTGCTTAACTTCGAATCTTACGGGAAACGTTGTTTCAACACAATGGTGCCGTAAGCCTAAATAAAATAAATAGCCCATAAGAAAAATATTTCAGTGAGTTGTTGAATTCATTTTTACTAGCAGTGTCTGTGTGTGTGTGTGTGTATGTATATATATATATATATATATATATATATTAGTAGCATATATACATATATATATATAAACTAGTAGCATATATATATACTAGTAGCATATATATATACTAGCAGCATATATATATATATATATATATATATATATATATATATATATATATATATATATATATATATATATATATATATACACACACACACACACACACACATTTCATTGAATGCAACAGACAAGATGCTTTGATTTAGTTTTTTTATACAATTCCTCATGTGATCTTATGTTTTTCTTTTCGGAGGATAAATTATATAAAATTCATTATGCAATAATTCACAATGCAATAAATATAAATTCAGACAGTTTTTATATAATTTATCATCTGAAAAGAAAAAAAAATATTGGATCACATGAGAAATTGTATGAAAGCTAAATCAAAGGACCTTGTCTGTCGTATTCAATGAAATATGCATGAAAGAAGGATTGCTGCCTAAATACACAGATAGATAGATAGATAGATAGATAGATAGATAGATAGATAGATAGATAGATAGATAGATAGATAGATACTAGCAGGATATACATATATACATATACATATACACAGACATGACAGAATTGAATAGACGCTCACAGAAACCGTTTATTTTATTAAACAAGTAATTTATACAAATGAGGTAATTATAAATGGTCATAAATTTAATAACTAATACTTGGTTGACATCTGTCTTGCTTTTTTTAATGCAAGGACCCTTCTAGGCATGCTAGCGATGAGTTCACGAATATCATCTTGAGGGATTTCTTGCC